CTCTCATATATATCCTTAAACCAATTTCAGGTTTATTGTGAAAATAATGGCTGATATCTAGCCAAATTGGGTAAATTTCGGTACGTACGTTTCCATTTCGTGCAACTCGGCTCCGATACACATTTTTTAATATAATCTTTCTCCAAGTGATATCGTGCACTCTATAGCAAACTATAACTGCTCTAAAGCCAAATGTTGATAGGTGGTATGATCTACTTGTAAAAAATTCTTTTGTTACGGGAGCTCTACTAAATATGCATAGTGGTGTAGGGTATCATAAAGTCTGCCACGCCCGACCTTTAAGTTTTCTTTACTTGTTTTCACTCCATATAGTTTTCCGATATATCGAAAAAATTTTATCAATTTTTTTCAAAGTTTTATCAACTTTTTTTTTTAAATTACAATTTTTACAAAAAAAAAAAAAAAAAAACTAAATACTTTCACTTAAAAAACACAAACGTTACTTTACGTAGATAAACCAGCAACGATTTGAATATAGCTCCCATATATTTTTTCACCGATTTCACACATCTAAAGCACCAGACACGATATGTATGTCCGATTCCAATGAAATTCGGAATGAGTGACGGAATTAGGTACAGAAATAAATTTGTTGAAATATATTGATATCGGTTAAGATTTGGATACAACTCTCATATATATTTTTGGCCGATTTTCCATATTTGATGGACCAAACACGATATGTATGTCCGATTCCAATGAAATTCGGATACAGAGATGAAATTCGGTACAAAAAAAAAAAATTGCCAAATTTTATTGAAATCGGTTGAGTTTTCGATTCCAATAGATTATTAAAACCAAAAATTTCAATGGGAATTGTTCAATTGTGATTCTTAGAAAAAATGTTTAAAATTCAAATGAGAGTATTCTAGTCTCTCAAAAAAAAAAAAAAAACACAATTTTCGAGTCAATAGCAAAAATACAATTATAATTTTATGCTCTTTCCTGATTTAAATATTTCCCAGAGTCAGCAGTATACATTTATGACAAATTGCGGTGGCATTGTTCAAAACCCACATTATGACCACATCAAGAGGTGAATGTATTACTTCACTTCCAACATTGTCTGTTTGGGTAGGAAATTGCGTACAAGAGACCGCTTGATTCAATCGCTGTATCTAATTTCTTCACTTGAGTTGTTGTGCTGCTGCTGAATAATGTAAATAATAAACCTACGCAACTCTTGAGTAATATTTAAAAATATTTTTTCTACTTTATTTATCTTTTCCTTCTTCGCCATCCAATGTTTGCTTTTATTAAACTTTCAGATACACTCGGATAATAGATGAAAAATGTCAATTTGATTTAATTATATCGCACTTTCCTTTCATCGTTTTTGCCCTTTTCTGATTCGGACAATAAAGAAAAATTGTCAATCAACAACATCAAAAACCAAATCAAATGGAGATTTGGCTACTGCAGAAGTCTTATGATAAACGTTAAGCCGGTGGGCTGGAATTTTGAAAATAAATTGTGAAAGTTTGATTTGCATACAAATAAATCAATTGTGGGATTTATTTTGTTTAATGGAAGTTGGAATTTTGTTTGAGTTGTATGATTTATTTAAGAGCACTTTCGTTAGAATTCTATTGGAAATTGTAAATAAACTATTTCTGGAACCGTATTAAAAATGGATGTTAACAAAAACTAATTTTAAAGAAACTTCGATTAAACTTATATAAATGTTTTGTTCCTCTTTTTTGGAATCATCAAAAATGTGGCTAGGACTATCAAATTACCGAATATGGGTGAATGCCGTTATATGGAAAACGTAGACCAATTTGAACAATGTTGTTGTGCGAAAAAATGCAAAGTTCAACTTCTATCGTGATTTCAACAGGCATCGTTAAAAGTATTTAGAATTTTATGCTGATCATGGAGATACATTTAGGTACCTCCTTTTCATGGTTGAGGGTATAAAAACAAAGGGTGGTCTAGAGTATCTTATATAAAAATTCCACGTTTTTTTTTTATACCCTCAGCTACAGAGGGTATATATCACTTGATACGGCCATAACATGCCTCATCGTAATAACGGTTTTAGACCCTAAGTATCTTTAGACCAAATCTATTTTAGGACAATTTGAGTCGATCTACGGTCTGTTGGTCTTGTTGGTCAGCACGACAACTCTCGAAGGGAGTATACAATTTGGTCCAAACTTGGTACATCGTAATATTATTTTTAATATTTCATTCGGAAATGGGTACCTCCTCCACTCATAGAACAAAAAGAATTATCCAATTTTGTAAATCCTGTAATGTCAGTGATAGGCTGGGTGCAAACATGGACAATCTCCACCAAGTACCTCCCCCACAAAAGGTCAAAATTTTGAATAATCATAACTCCTCAAAATGTCAAATAAGGGTAAGATTGTCAAATTTCGCACATCTCAATATTTATACCAACACAAGCTCTGATGTGAAAAAGGGAGTATTTTGGACAATTCCTTGAGGTACCTCCCCCACAACGGGTCAACATTTTGAATAAATATTTAGCTCAAAAAAGAGTAAATGAGCATCAACACAAGAGCTAGTGTGAATAAGAAGTATGTCGGACAACTCTTTCTTGTACCTCTCACACAAAAAGTAAACATTTTGAACAATTTTACTTTTATAAAATATGAACCTCTACTAGGTGTCTTTGGATCAAATCCGTTTCTGGACATTTGAAGTCGATCTAGGGGAATCCGTTCGTCTGTCTCTCAGGCTGGTGCGAACGATAACTCTCGAAGAGAGTATCCAATTTGTTCCAAAGTTTGTACATAGTAATATTATCGTCATACTTAGATCGAGTTTGTAAATGGACAACACTGGTCCGCTACATCAAGTACCTTTCCCACAAAGAGTCAAAAATTTAAAGGTAAAAATTATTCACCTTATAGAACAAGAAATGATCATTCAATTTTGTTCAAACTTTTCAAATACCAATATTTCTATTGGTGCGAGGTAAATGGACAATATTGGCACACTCCATCAAGCACCTCCCCCACAAAGGGTCAAAATTTTAAATAACCAAACCGATCACAAAAGCGAATTGAGCATCCAATTCTGTTCCAAATTTCACACACCACAATATTTTTATTAAAACAATATATGGTGTGAAGATAGAAGAATATATGGATGCACTTTTTCTGGTACTTGCCTCACAATAGTGTCGAAATTTTGAATAACTTAAACACTCATAAAATGCGAAATAAGCTTCTGATTCTTTTCAATTTTAAGACATCGCAATATTTTTATTAAAACAAGACCTTGCGTGAAAGTGACAGACATCGTGCTGTCTCCTATGGTACCTCCCCCCCAATGGGTCAAATTTTTAAATACCAATATCTCTCATAACTAGCGAAACAAGTTCACGATTTCCAGTAAACTTCGTGTATCTCAATATTTTTGTCAACCATAGATCTAAAAGATATTTCGGTTCTCTCTTCCTTGTTAAACTTTTGACTAGCAATTACAGGGTGATAAGAAAAAGCTGCAACCAAGCTTCAGTCTGCTGTGAATTCTAAGCCACTCGTGCGACAGCTATTAAAATTATTCCAGTGACAGCTCATTATATTGTTTACAAGCGTACAAAAGCATTTAGGTGAGCATTTTCCAGAAAAAAAGTTTTTCGTGATGGAATTCAAGCGCGATAGTGTGATTTCTTTATATTTGGCTGGAAAAGCGCAAGTGGCTATCGTAAGAGTACTCTAACATTTAAATGTGAATAAATTTGTTGTGTCTCGTAACATAGCTCGTTACCGTGATACTGGAAGTGGACAAAAGAAAACAGCAACATCAGCTGAAATGGTTCTAAAAGTAAAGATTCGATCAAGTCGCTTCTTTACTTTTAGAACCATTTCAGCTGATGTTGCTGTTTTCTTTCGTCCACTTCGTCGTCCCTCGTCGCAGTGCCCAAAAAAGGGCTCGTGAGCTGAACATACTGCAATATTCCATTCAGCAAATATTGAAAAATGAGCTCGGAGTATAGCAATTTAAATTCCAATAAGTGCATGCACCGCAACAGAAAGAAAATAGATTCAAAAGAGCTAAAGAGTTTAATCGCATGGCCGAAAGTGGTGAACTGCCGAATTTGGATTTCTTCGATGAGAAAACATTCGTTGTCCAGCGGGCCAAAGAGGTCAGCTGAAAATGTGCACCTTCGGTTGGCCACCAGAACTCAAGCATTGGTAATGGTATGGGCCATCAGAACTCAAGCATTGGTGATGGTGTGGGCCACCATAACAGCCGATGGTCGCTCTCTGCTCGTATTAATCGACCGTGACATGAGAATAAATGCCGAATATTATCCCGAAAATATTCTGGAGGATGTATTAAAGCCTTGGGCACGCGCACATTTTGGCCGCAGACCTTGGACATTCCAAGAGGACTCAGCACGCGCAGCGATTAGAAAATGAGGTCCCTCGCTTCATTTCCAGCGCACAATGGCCACCAAAATCTCTGGATACCAATCCGTTGGACTATTGTGTCTGGAGTATTTCGGAAAGCAAGGTTGGCACTAAAAAATACCAAAGTGTCGATCACCTCAAGCAAGCGCTTCGCCGAAGAAATGATTGTTTTTCTCCCAAATATTTATTATATCATTAATATTATAATTTTCATTCACGTTTTCAACTTTTTGTGTAAATGTTGACATTTTGAACATATTTTTGTATTTTTCTATTTTTAAATTTTGCTGGAGAGACACTTGTCAAACATTTTTTCTGCCGATACAAAGTTTTTGAAAATATTGCCTCTTTTGTTTGCAGTTTTCTGTGGAAAATTCAACTTGTGGATAAAATGCGTACCTCGAATGAGAGAGAAAACAAAATGTACTTTCGTTTGAATGTACATACGCCATTCAACATTGTAGTTTTCATTCATAATTTTAAGTCTTCCCAAAAATTTTTGAAATTTCATTAAATTTTTCTATATTTAATTTTTAAATGTCATAATTTATTTTTTCGATAAATGCTCTCATTTGTTAAGGATGGGACATATTTTTTCGTTGTTCTGAGAGTGATTTGATTTGAACAACGTACAAATATGAGTGTTCGCTCAGAAAATTTTGTGTGAAGAATAACGTAGTTTTTTCATAGTTAAGGGTCAAACAACGAATAGAGAGCGAATCAAGTGCAGTGGAAACGCCACATTACGAACGTAAAATTCGAAATTTGAAATAATTCCGGTAAAAAATTTGGGCAATGTCATCAAAATACTGAAAAAAGGGAGGTGTCGGTATATGTGGGTTGAATGAAGTCGTAGGCCCACATAGTCAATTCTCCGTCATTGGTTGTATTACCCATTACGAGCTTTACATACGAAATTAGAAATGATTGCGGTGAACAATGTCCCTATAATCATCAAAATACCGAATACTGGAAGTTATCATCATGAATTTTAAATACGAAATTTAAAACAATCCCGGTAAATATGTCGTTAAAGTCATCAAGATACTGAATACCTGTTTTTGGGACCTATACTATACCATGGCCCTATGTAGACAATTCTCTTCCGGGAGGGTAAAGTACTCAAAATAAAGTTCTGGCGAGGATTTTGAAACAATTCCATTGAAAATGTGGCTAAAATCATGAAAATATCGGATATCGGGGAGAACCTCTACTATATCGTGAACCAATATAGCCCATCTTCGAACTTGACCTGCCTGCAGACCGAAGACTGATCTTTGCAAAATTGTAGGTTCCTGTCTTAATTCGTTTTCACTCCAGCGTAGTTACAGCAGACACTGATCAATAATATATACATTTTGTTAGGCCTAAAATTGATATACCCCCCATACTATGGTGGAGGGTATACAAAATAAATTATGAGTGTACAGATTAAACAAGAAGTTCATTGATCGGTGAAATCCTTTTCCAAATAATTGTTATCTTCTTTCCATTTTCCAATTCAAATCGATCCATTATTTGAAATATCTTAAATTATAAATATTTTAAATTATAAATATTTTTATTAAATTATCCTTAAACTCTTTAGAGCTTAACCAAACTAAAAACCACTACTCTGCTACTTGACTTACTTTGCAGCACACACATACATGCACACACATACTATTTACATTATTTAATAACTTTTTGTTTCATCCATTCTGTTTCCCTCCTCCTAGCATTGTTATGTTACCTTAATTCCAGCATTCTCCTCGACTTCGTGGGGATACAAAAAAAAACAACAGGCTCTTGATTCCGTAACAATAAAAGTGTATAGAGTTGAAGATATTACAGAGGATTAACCCTATAAAGCCAAACTGAATAGAGAGATATCTTTTAACTGTTGTAACTTCATTTCGGTCTATGCATTGCTGTTGTTGTTCCGTTTTTTTTTTTGTTCTTCCTCTGTATACGCTTTTATTTTGCATTGTTCTTTTCATAGTCTCATCTCATCATTGTGTTGGGTAGGGATTTTTTCCCAGTTGGTCGGTCGTTTTTATGGGCATTTAAACGTTGTTGTGTCATTTAATACATTCAATTGTGATGTGAAATGTTGGGAGAGGGGAGAGAAGTTGGGCCCGAGGGAGACACAGACTCAGAGAAAATAAGATAAGGCAATATTCGGTTGGTCTATGGTAAATGGGGAAAAAGGTAGTGTCCACGAAAATTCATTGACAACCAACCAGGTAGAACTAATCTAACAATACATTTGCCTTCACAGATGAGTGTTTTGTTCCAGCCAAGAGGGGGTCTCCGTCCGTCTATCTGCTGCTCCGTTTCATTTGCTGGTTAAGCGAAATTTATGACTTTCTTGGACACTGACAGGGGTTATAAAGATGTTTATTGTTTCACCTTTTTATGAGTGAGAAATGTATTTCTATCTTTTTTATTTTTCTTCTATTAATTTCGTCGGTGTGTTGTCATAAATAGTAAAACTATTATGTCATAGCAGTGGACCACAAACAATGGTGAGATAAAAATGCTTCTGATACCTGTGGAGTTGTTAATATTATGATAGGGGCAAATACAATTTTTTATAGGTGAGCTATTGTGACAAAAATGTTGTTTATATTGAGAATCACCGAATGACAGCAGAGAAAATGTTAAAAACTATCTGCAAGAAATGGTAGAAAGAGATTCTAACATGACAAGAAATTAAATTAGAAGGAACAATAAAACGGCAGTGAATCGTGTTATTTTTGTCCTGGGGTCAAAATTTCGCGTTAGATATCAAAAAAAAAAAAAAAATAATCGGTCGGAATGAATTTGAGTCTTCACACTATAAGTTAATGAAAACTCAATCCAATATTCGATATTTAGTAGTTTCTAAAAAAAATCATATTCAAGTTTACTTTTCAATCCATTTTTTTCGGTTGCGAATGCGAGAATTCAGACCCAAAATTGGACTCCAAATTTTTATATAAAGTTATTACCACAACCTTTGTGCAAAAAATTACCAACAATTTCATTCATATATCATTCATCATATATATAAAAGAATAACGCTTTTCCGACTACATGATAACTACAAATTGTGTGGATATAAAGCCTTCCTATCTGAAATAGACCATAACCTAATCGATATATTAAAAAAATGTAACTGATTTAAAAAAAAAAATATCATTATGGTGTTTCTTCCTTAATTTTTTCTCATTGCCTTAAATCGGATCAAGAGAAACGTATTTAAAAGAACAACAAAAACATAAAACAAACTACATCACAGTACATTTACCGCAAAATCAGCTGACTATCTTCAAAGTTTTTTTAAATTAAGTAAAAACGGCACGATTTTTTTACGATTACGAAAGATGACATTCCATACTAAAATACAAAATTAAAATTTTAGGTCCTTCCCGATTTTTATACCCTACACCACATTGTCACAAGGGTATTACGTCTTTGTTCATTTGTTTGTAACATGGAGAAGGAAACGAGATAGACTCATAGTTCCTTTGGATAATCTGCATAGAATCACATTTTGAGTCGATTTATCCATGTCCGTCCGTCTGTCTGTCCGTCTGTCCATGTATTTTTGTAAACAAATGCCGGTCACATTTATTATTCGATTGAGATGAAATTTTCTAAATAACATTTGTTTGGCTCAAGGACGAAGCCTATTGGAATTGGTGAAAATCGGTAAAAATTTAGATATATCTCCCATATACATATTCATCCGATTTTAGGTTCGTTGTGCACAAAATGGCTGATATCAGCCTACAAGCATGTGCTTCAAATTTGGTGAAAATCGGTTCAGATATAGCCATAGCTCCCTAGATATGTTTCATCCGATTTGGGGTTTTAAGTCCCACACAAGCGTAATATGCATTCCACAACAATGATATTTGGTACCAGATATCAGATACAGCTCTGAAATAATTGTATCAATTTTTTTCAAGATCGATTCAGATTTGGATACATCTCCCATTTATATATCCTTAACCGATTTCGGGTTAATTGTGCACCAAATAGCCAATATTAGCCCAAATGACCTAAATTTTGGCATATCCGACCGAATTCAGTCTAGAAGCAAGTACATAAAATTTGGTGAAAATCGGTGCAGATATAGCTATAGCTCCCATATATATGTTTCATCTGATTTGATGTTTAAGTCCCCAACATTAGTAATATGCATTCGACAACAATGATATTTAGTACCAGATATCTTATAGAGCTCGAAAACACCTCAGCCAAATTTTATCATGATCGGTTCAGATTTGGATATAGATCCCATATATATCTTCAACCGATTTCGGATTAATTGTTCACCAAATGGCCAATATCCGTCAAAAAGTCCTGGGTTTTTGTACAACCGTCCAAATTCAGTCTAGAAGCAAGTAAATCAAATTAAAAAAAAAATCGGTGCAAATATATATGAGTCCCTCACATTCGTAATATGCATTCGACAGCAATGATATTTGGTACCAGATATCTTATAAAGTTCGGAAATACCTTTGCCACATTTTATCGATAACTGCATATAACTCTCATATATATCCTTAAACCAATTTCAGGTTTATTGTGAAAATAATGGCTGATATCTAGCCAAATTGGGTAAATTTCGGTACGTACGTTTCCATTTCGTGCAACTCGGCTCCGATACACATTTTTTAATATAATCTTTCTCCAAGTGATATCGTGCACTCTATAGCAAACTATAACTGCTCTAAAGCCAAATGTTGATAGGTGGTATGATCTACTTGTAAAAAATTCTTTTGTTACGGGAGCTCTACTAAATATGCATAGTGGTGTAGGGTATCATAAAGTCTGCCACGCCCGACCTTTAAGTTTTCTTTACTTGTTTTCACTCCATATAGTTTTCCGATATATCGAAAAAATTTTATCAATTTTTTTCAAAGTTTTATCAACTTTTTTTTTTAAATTACAATTTTTACAAAAAAAAAAAAAAAAAACTAAATACTTTCACTTAAAAAACACAAACGTTACTTTACGTAGATAAACCAGCAACGATTTGAATATAGCTCCCATATATTTTTTCACCGATTTCACACATCTAAAGCACCAGACACGATATGTATGTCCGATTCCAATGAAATTCGGAATGAGTGACGGAATTAGGTACAGAAATAAATTTGTTGAAATATATTGATATCGGTTAAGATTTGGATACAACTCTCATATATATTTTTGGCCGATTTTCCATATTTGATGGACCAAACACGATATGTATGTCCGATTCCAATGAAATTCGGATACAGAGATGAAATTCGGTACAAAAAAAAAAATTGCCAAATTTTATTGAAATCGGTTGAGTTTTCGATTCCAATAGATTATTAAAACCAAAAATTTCAATGGGAATTGTTCAATTGTGATTCTTAGAAAAAATGTTTAAAATTCAAATGAGAGTATTCTAGTCTCTCAAAAAAAAAAAAAAAACACAATTTTCGAGTCAATAGCAAAAATACAATTATAATTTTATGCTCTTTCCTGATTTAAATATTTCCCAGAGTCAGCAGTATACATTTATGACAAATTGCGGTGGCATTGTTCAAAACCCACATTATGACCACATCAAGAGGTGAATGTATTACTTCACTTCCAACATTGTCTGTTTGGGTAGGAAATTGCGTACAAGAGACCGCTTGATTCAATCGCTGTATCTAATTTCTTCACTTGAGTTGTTGTGCTGCTGCTGAATAATGTAAATAATAAACCTACGCAACTCTTGAGTAATATTTAAAAATATTTTTTCTACTTTATTTATCTTTTCCTTCTTCGCCATCCAATGTTTGCTTTTATTAAACTTTCAGATACACTCGGATAATAGATGAAAAATGTCAATTTGATTTAATTATATCGCACTTTCCTTTCATCGTTTTTGCCCTTTTCTGATTCGGACAATAAAGAAAAATTGTCAATCAACAACATCAAAAACCAAATCAAATGGAGATTTGGCTACTGCAGAAGTCTTATGATAAACGTTAAGCCGGTGGGCTGGAATTTTGAAAATAAATTGTGAAAGTTTGATTTGCATACAAATAAATCAATTGTGGGATTTATTTTGTTTAATGGAAGTTGGAATTTTGTTTGAGTTGTATGATTTATTTAAGAGCACTTTCGTTAGAATTCTATTGGAAATTGTAAATAAACTATTTCTGGAACCGTATTAAAAATGGATGTTAACAAAAACTAATTTTAAAGAAACTTCGATTAAACTTATATAAATGTTTTGTTCCTCTTTTTTGGAATCATCAAAAATGTGGCTAGGACTATCAAATTACCGAATATGGGTGAATGCCGTTATATGGAAAACGTAGACCAATTTGAACAATGTTGTTGTGCGAAAAAATGCAAAGTTCAACTTCTATCGTGATTTCAACAGGCATCGTTAAAAGTATTTAGAATTTTATGCTGATCATGGAGATACATTTAGGTACCTCCTTTTCATGGTTGAGGGTATAAAAACAAAGGGTGGTCTAGAGTATCTTATATAAAAATTCCACGTTTTTTTTTTATACCCTCAGCTACAGAGGGTATATATCACTTGATACGGCCATAACATGCCTCATCGTAATAACGGTTTTAGACCCTAAGTATCTTTAGACCAAATCTATTTTAGGACAATTTGAGTCGATCTACGGTCTGTTGGTCTTGTTGGTCAGCACGACAACTCTCGAAGGGAGTATACAATTTGGTCCAAACTTGGTACATCGTAATATTATTTTTAATATTTCATTCGGAAATGGGTACCTCCTCCACTCATAGAACAAAAAAGAATTATCCAATTTTGTAAATCCTGTAATGTCAGTGATAGGCTGGGTGCAAACATGGACAATCTCCACCAAGTACCTCCCCCACAAAAGGTCAAAATTTTGAATAATCATAACTCCTCAAAATGTCAAATAAGGGTAAGATTGTCAAATTTCGCACATCTCAATATTTATACCAACACAAGCTCTGATGTGAAAAAGGGAGTATTTTGGACAATTCCTTGAGGTACCTCCCCCACAACGGGTCAACATTTTGAATAAATATTTAGCTCAAAAAAGAGTAAATGAGCATCAACACAAGAGCTAGTGTGAATAAGAAGTATGTCGGACAACTCTTTCTTGTACCTCTCACACAAAAAGTAAACATTTTGAACAATTTTACTTTTATAAAATATGAACCTCTACTAGGTGTCTTTGGATCAAATCCGTTTCTGGACATTTGAAGTCGATCTAGGGGAATCCGTTCGTCTGTCTCTCAGGCTGGTGCGAACGATAACTCTCGAAGAGAGTATCCAATTTGTTCCAAAGTTTGTACATAGTAATATTATCGTCATACTTAGATCGAGTTTGTAAATGGACAACACTGGTCCGCTACATCAAGTACCTTTCCCACAAAGAGTCAAAAATTTAAAGGTAAAAATTATTCACCTTATAGAACAAGAAATGATCATTCAATTTTGTTCAAACTTTTCAAATACCAATATTTCTATTGGTGCGAGGTAAATGGACAATATTGGCACACTCCATCAAGCACCTCCCCCACAAAGGGTCAAAATTTTAAATAACCAAACCGATCACAAAAGCGAATTGAGCATCCAATTCTGTTCCAAATTTCACACACCACAATATTTTTATTAAAACAATATATGGTGTGAAGATAGAAGAATATATGGATGCACTTTTTCTGGTACTTGCCTCACAATAGTGTCGAAATTTTGAATAACTTAAACACTCATAAAATGCGAAATAAGCTTCTGATTCTTTTCAATTTTAAGACATCGCAATATTTTTATTAAAACAAGACCTTGCGTGAAAGTGACAGACATCGTGCTGTCTCCTATGGTACCTCCCCCCCAATGGGTCAAATTTTTAAATACCAATATCTCTCATAACTAGCGAAACAAGTTCACGATTTCCAGTAAACTTCGTGTATCTCAATATTTTTGTCAACCATAGATCTAAAAGATATTTCGGTTCTCTCTTCCTTGTTAAACTTTTGACTAGCAATTACAGGGTGATAAGAAAAAGCTGCAACCAAGCTTCAGTCTGCTGTGAATTCTAAGCCACTCGTGCGACAGCTATTAAAATTATTCCAGTGACAGCTCATTATATTGTTTACAAGCGTACAAAAGCATTTAGGTGAGCATTTTCCAGAAAAAAAGTTATTCGTGATGGAATTCAAGCGCGATAGTGTGATTTCTTTATATTTGGCTGGAAAAGCGCAAGTGGCTATCGTAAGAGTACTCTAACATTTAAATGTGAATAAATTTGTTGTGTCTCGTAACATAGCTCGTTACCGTGATACTGGAAGTGGACAAAAGAAAACAGCAACATCAGCTGAAATGGTTCTAAAAGTAAAGATTCGATCAAGTCGCTTCTTTACTTTTAGAACCATTTCAGCTGATGTTGCTGTTTTCTTTCGTCCACTTCGTCGTCCCTCGTCGCAGTGCCCAAAAAAGGGCTCGTGAGCTGAACATACTGCAATATTCCATTCAGCAAATATTGAAAAATGAGCTCGGAGTATAGCAATTTAAATTCCAATAAGTGCATGCACCGCAACAGAAAGAAAATAGATTCAAAAGAGCTAAAGAGTTTAATCGCATGGCCGAAAGTGGTGAACTGCCGAATTTGGATTTCTTCGATGAGAAAACATTCGTTGTCCAGCGGGCCAAAGAGGTCAGCTGAAAATGTGCACCTTCGGTTGGCCACCAGAACTCAAGCATTGGTAATGGTATGGGCCATCAGAACTCAAGCATTGGTGATGGTGTGGGCCACCATAACAGCCGATGGTCGCTCTCTGCTCGTATTAATCGACCGTGACATGAGAATAAATGCCGAATATTATCCCGAAAATATTCTGGAGGATGTATTAAAGCCTTGGGCACGCGCACATTTTGGCCGCAGACCTTGGACATTCCAAGAGGACTCAGCACGCGCAGCGATTAGAAAATGAGGTCCCTCGCTTCATTTCCAGCGCACAATGGCCACCAAAATCTCTGGATACCAATCCGTTGGACTATTGTGTCTGGAGTATTTCGGAAAGCAAGGTTGGCACTAAAAAATACCAAAGTGTCGATCACCTCAAGCAAGCGCTTCGCCGGGAATGGTCCAAAATACCACAGAACATACGGGCAGCATGTGACGGTTTCAATGGCAATTTGAAGGCAATAATTCGTGCCAAAGGTGACCAATGCGAACAAATCGAAACTCATTCTAAAATTTGATGCTATTTCCAACATTTTTTGATTTCATTCAATAAAATTTAAAAATGAAAACCAGTAAAGAAAGTCCTAAAGTCGGGCGGGGCCGATTTTATGATACCCTACACCACTTTGCTAATTTAGTTGAGCTCCACTAAATAATTAAAAGTTTTTATGGGAGAATTCAATCATACACGCTATGATTATAATTATAATTTAAAATTCAAAGGACTAAATATGCCGAAGCATTTGTATCTTTTAAATTCGGACTTGTATTGCCCATTTGGTGCAAAATTAATTTGAAATCGGATAAAAATATATATGGGAACTATATCCAAATCTGAACTGATCTTGATAAAAATTGGCAGAGATATTTCTGAGCTGTATTTGATATATTTACCTGAATATCGTTGTTACGGAGTGCATATTACGGCTGTGGGTAACAAATATAAAAAATCGGATGAACAATATATATGGAAGCTATAGCTATATCTGAACCGATCTTCACCAAATTTGGCATACTACCTTCTAGACTAAATTCGGTCGTATGTGCCAAATTCCATCCCATTTGGACAAATATTAGACATTTGGTGCACAATAAAGGGTAAATCGGACGAAGATATATATGGGAGCTATATCTAAACTTCTACCGATTATCTCCAATTTCAATAGGGTTCGTCCTTGGACCAAACAAATGTTGTTTGCAAAATTTCATCTCAATCGGATAATAAATGCGACCTGCATTTTGTTCACAAAAATACATGGACAGACGGACGGACGGACAGACGGACTGACATGCATAAATCAACTCAGATAGTGATTCTATGCAGATCATCAAAAGGAACTATGGGTCTATCTCGTTTCCTTTTGCCTGTTACAAACAAATGCACAAAGACATAATACCCTGACCACAATGTGGTGTAGGGTATAAAAAGTAAAAATCATGGCCTTTGATTTTGTTGCAGTTTTATTTATCTCACCCTGTATATGGAAGCTATATCCAAATCTGAATAGGTCTTGATAAAATTTGGCAAATTTTTTTTTGAGGTGTATTTGATATATTTCTCAGAATATCGTTGTTCCGTAGTGCATATTACGGCTATGGAGGAGAAATTTAACAAATCGGATGAAGAATATATGTGGGAGCTTTAGCCATATCTAAAAACAATTTCCACCAAATTTGACAAAATTATTTCAGAAGAAACTTTACCGTCTATCAGGGTGGTGCGCACGATGACCCCTTCTGGCACCTCACCCACAAAGAGTAACAAGTTTCAATATTTTTATCTGTCATAACTTGCAAAATAAGTCAGCGATTCTTTACAACTTGATATTCCTGAATATTTCTTTCAACCAGAAACCTGAGATGATAATGGAATTTATGATTTGCCTTATAATTTTGCCCATAAAAATATTTTTATCTGTATTTGTGAAGTATAAACAAGTTAAAAAGCACTAAGTTCGGCCGGGCCGAACTTTGAAAACCCTTCACCATTTGGAACGAATTTAGAAATATTCAAAAAATAAAATCCGTAAAAAATTCTGTGGAAATCTTAAAAATACCGAATATAGTCGTTATTTTGGGACCTACATAGGCATTGGACGTGGACCTACATGGGCATTGTTTGTATTAAGCCATTACCACATTATAAACGGTGAATAATGTAGCACCATCAAAATACCGTATATAGGGAGGTACCGTTATATCGGAGCTATACGAAGACCTGGACCTGCGTAGATAATTTTCTGTCAGAGGCTGTAGTATCCATTACGAACTTTAAATACGAGATCTCATACAATTTCAGTGAATATTGTACCTAAAATCGTCAAAATACCGAATATAGGGAGGTTCTGATATATGGAGCCTAAACGAAGACCTGTCCTGCATAGAACATTTGGTGTCATGGGCTATAGTTCCAATTTCGATCCGGTGAATGATGATGGTAAAATCATCAAAATAGCGACAATTTGGAGGTCCCATTATATGGGGGCTATACGAAGACGTGAACCTGCACCGAAAATTTTCTGTCCTACGATGTAATATCCATTTCGAACTTCAAATGCCAAATTTGAAACAATTCCGGTGAATAATATCGATAAAATCATCAAAATACCGAATATCGGGAGGTACCGTTTTATGGTGGCTATATGATAACTTGGACCTACATGTCCCATTTACGAACTTAACCTGCCTACTGGCAAAATATACATGTGTGCAAAATTTTAGCCTTCTATCTTAATTTGTTCGAAAGATAGCGTGATTATAACAGACAGACGGACAGACAGACAGGCTAAATCGTCTTAGAATTTTACGCTGATCAAGAATATATATACTTTGTTGGGCCTGATATGAGTATTTCGAGGAGTTACAAACGGAATGACAAAGTTAATATACCCTCCATAGTATGGTGGAGGGTATAAAAATGGAATGCTTCGGTCGACTTTATGTGGTACATCATGCACATTTTAACATTTTCTAAAAATTATCACATACCGCTGGGACGTCGCAATATTTATATCATATCTATTTAGGTTCGATATGAAATGAACAATATTGGTTCATTTCTCCGAAACCTACTCCAAAGAGAGTCAAACACACATATACTTAAATCGTCGAACATTAACTGGGGGTATACATCTGCCGAAAAAACCGACTGATGCTTTTTATCTTATTAACTAGTTATTTAGTAAAATGGGGTTTTGGGTAGAAACTCACCTATGACCAAGACGAAGAAACGGCTAATCCACAAACAGGTAATAGTAACACGATATTATCAATTCATTATCCAGTATACATTTAAGATATGTATATAATTCCAATATGTATATCAATATGACAACTATGTTACTTTTTTTAATTGTGACATTTATTCATAACATTTAAGCAAAAAAACACAAATTTTCTTAACACGCTTATAACACTCGAGTTATTATTTTTTTTTGTTATAAATATTTCACCTTTCAACATTTTCATACATTTTTATTTTTAGTTTAAATTATTTCACAATTTTGAATTATAAATATTTGTTTGTAACTTTGCACTTCAACAATTATTCCGATATTAATTTCTTATTATTTTTTTTTTGTTTTTAATTTCAATTATTTTTATTTTGCAGTATTTTTAATTCATATTCACTTCATTGTTGCTAATTTGATTATTTGTGTATATTTTTCATTCACTTTCATAAAACACAATAATATTTTCTTCTTTTGTTTGAGTATTTATTTAAGAAGAAATTCAAACTATTTTCCTTTCTTTTTGGAAATTATTATTAAATAATTCTTTGTATTTTTTACATTTCTCTATTACTTTTTTGTGGTAAACACTTTAAAATGATTTCATATTTTCCATTGATTTGATGGGTTTTCTTTGTTAAGCTGTCGATTTTCTTAGCCTTGAAAGGAAAATGTTAGATTCGGTAATTTTTTCTCTTTCTTCTTTGGATCACTTTTTGCTGCAAGACTTGTGCACTTTTTTGCCATTACTTTTCGTTAACAATATTCTCTTTATTTTGTTGTTGTTGCTGCAGACGTTTCAAAATGCATGTTTTCTCTGCACAATTTCCTTTCATCAAAATTGAACTGTAAAATAAGCCAAAAACAACAAATATATATAAGATTTTGTAGAAAAAAATATAAGTTTGTTTTTTTATATCTCCTTCTTTATTTGGTGTCACCATTAAGTGGAAATCTAACTTTTTGACCAAAAATGAGACGAAGCAATAGAGGGTAATAACAAGAAAGCAAAACTGGCTGCAAAAACCAAACTGCTGAGCTCTGCTTTAAAAGCCACGAGATGCGGATTATCTTCACAATCTGCTTGGCTGGCTGGTCGGTTAGTTGGATGGTGGGTTTTGGTGGCTGCCATGATTTTCCCTAAATATTCAGTGATGTGAGAACTACTCTGGGATGGTTGCAGATAAAAAGATTTCTGTGGTGTCTGCCACAACTATTTGCTTTGAAAATGAGGGAAAAAAACTTGTTATGTTGCTGTTGTGTTTCTTCTTCTTCTCGTTTCTTTTAAGTGGTTGGGCAGCATTTGCTGCTTCTGCTCTTGTTGCAAGTGTTGAACAAGATTTTGTTGTACCACACCTCACCACATTGTGGTACAGGATATTGTAATTAAATACATTGAATGAACTGATTGCACTGAGACGGAAAACTGTAACAAAATTCAGATGTACAATTTGTATATCATGAATTTGTTGCTGCATAAAATCAATTTTTATATCGATATACGTGGACAGACGTCCAAGTACTTTTATGAACAGAGTTCAGGACGAAATTTTTGGCCACTTTTCATTAAATCTTGAAAGCTCGTTTGTTTAGTTCAAAGACGACCACTTTTGAAATTGATTACTCACTTGAAGAGGGGAATCAATTTCTCCATATTCTAATGTTTGTGTCAACATTAGAGCAAGTCTAAAAATGACATTAGAGCAAGTCTAATCGTTAAAATTTTTCAAAAAAAAAAAAAAAAAAAACAAAAAACACAAATTAAACATTTCTAAAAAATATGCATAAATCTCATATAAAACGGAGGAAATAGTTGATATAGTCCGAATATTTATATCGGATAAATGTTCGGGCCAAAATGGCCTCTCCCATAAATGGTTAACATTTTTAATAATCAGAACGTGGACCTTTACATCCATGTATGTGCCGGAGAAGGTGGTGCCTATTAGAACTCCAAACACCAAGTTTAAGATAATTATTTTGAAAATTTTTTGGATAAAATCATTAAAAATACCGAATATTAGGAGGTACCATTATATGGGAGCTAAACGAAGTCAAGAATATAGACAATTTTCTGTCGTAGGATGCAGTATCCACTGCGAACTCCAAATTTCTAATTTAAAATAATTCTGGTGAAATGTGTGGCTAAAATCGGCAAAATATCGAATAAAGTGAGGTACAATTATACGAGAGCTCTACAAAGATGTGAACCTTTATAGGCAATTTTCTGTAATAGGAGATAGTACCCATTATGAACTCCAAATACCAATTTTGAAACAATTCAGGTGAAAAGTATGGGACATATCATCAAAATACTGAATATCTGAAGGTAAAGATATGCGAGGTCCATAGACTGACAGACAGGCACACGGACGGACATCGCTAAAACAACATAGAATTTTTTTCTGATAAGTAATAATGTATGTAATATCGTGCCTCCATGCTATGGTGGAGGGTATACAAATTGGTAACAAAATTTACCCGCCAGGGGGGCGCTACCAATATATGGGAGCTATAACAAAACGTGTATCTAGTTAATAATTTTATTGCTATAGGATTGAGAGTTTAAAATGGCAGATTTTAAACTTTTTCAACTATAAAATATGGATGTATCGTTTATGAGGACGTATATAGGAAATTTTCTGCCAGAGGGATTGCCACTCTCTAAGAAATTCATAATTAGAATTCAAGACAATTTCATTGAAATATGTGGCTATAATCATCTATCCAATCGAATATCACATATGTACCTTACAGACAACTGTTTTCCAGAGGCATAAGTACGTACTATGAATTAAAAATATCGAAAATTTTTCAGACCATTCCATTGAAAAAATAGGACATAAATCATTAAAATACCGAATATCGGAAGATACCATTATATGGGGTCTATACTCAAACTTGGACCAATATATACACTTTTTGTGCCAGAGACATAACTTCCCCTTATGAATTTCAAACAATTTCGTCAAATTCCATCAAAATGCGGAATGTGAGGCGGTATCGTTATATGAAGGCTACAATAAACCGTAATCCATTATATACAATTTTTAGACTGAGAGATAACCCTTATGAACTTCATATACCGAATTTTTAAATAATTCCCTGGAAAAAAAGTGACTCCAATCTTCGATATATCGTGTATCAAAAAAATGCTCAATATTAGTTGGTATCCTTATATGGAGGCTACAGATAAACTTGAACCAATATAGACAATGTTCTGTCACAAATATCGAATTTTAAACAAATCATTTAGCAAATGTGGCTATAATCGTCAAAATACAGAATATCTAGAGGTACTGTTATATATTATATATTTTCACTTAATTTGACGGAGACATCATACATATACAAATAACATTTGTATAGAGTGCATGACATCACGAGAAGGATTATATTAAAACAAGTAAAAAAGCTGTAAGTTCGGCCGTGCCGAACTTTTAATCCACCATTTCCACCACCATTTGGTACAAATTTGGCAATTTCCAAAAAAAAAACGTTAAAAATTCTGTTAAAATCTTAAAAATACCGAATGCTTGTACGACGACGTGGGCCTGCATAGACAACTTTTGTCATAAATTATTACAATATTTAAATGCGAAACTTGAAGAAAAATCTGTTTATAATGTAGCTAAAATCGTCAAAATACCGAATATGGGGGGCACCGTTATATGGGGGCTATACGAAGACGTGGACCTGCACAGACAATTTTCTGGCATGGTCTGAAAGTATCCATTACGAACTGCACATGCGAAATTGGAAACAATCCCTGTAAATAATGTCGCTAAAATCATTAAAATACCGAATATCGGGGGGTACCGTTATATGGGGGCTATATGAAGACGTGGACCTACTTGGCTCATTTTTTGACTTTGGATGAAATATCCATTACGAACTTCAAATACCAAATTTGAAACGATTCCGATAAACAATGTCGCTAAAATCATTAAAATACCGAATATCGGGGGGTACCGATATATGGGGGCTATATGAAGACGTGGACCTGCACAGATAATTTTCTGTCTTAGGCTGTAGTAGCCATTACGAACTTCAAATACCAAATTTGAAATAATTCCGGTGAATAATGTCGCTAAAATCATCAAAATACCGAATATCGGGAGGTACCGTTATATGGGGGCTATATGATAACTTGGACCTACATGGCCCATTTACCAACTTAACCTGCCTACTGGCAAAATATACATGTGTGCAAAATTTTAGCCTTCTATCTCAATTTGTTCGAAAGATAGCGTGATTACAACAGACAGACGGACAGACAGACAGACAGACGGACATGGCTAAATCGTCTTAGAATTTTACGCTGATCAAGAATATATATACTTTGTTGGGTCTGACATGAATATTTCGAGGAGTTACAAACGGAATGACAAAATTAATATACCCTCCATAGTATGGTGGAGGGTATAAAAATATATATCGGAGCGGAGTTCCACAAAATGGAAACGTACGTCCCGAAATTAACTCCAATATCATTGTTGTCAAAAGCATATTACGACTGGGAAGAAACATATATAAGGAACTATATCTATATCTAAACAGATTTTCTCCAAATCGAATGTACTTCCTTCTAGACTGAATTCGGACGGATGTGCCAAAATTCAGGTCATTAGGATTGATATTGGCCATTTGGTACACAATTAACCCGAAATCGGTTGAAGATATATATGGCAGCTATATCCAAATTTGATCCAATCTTGATAAAATTAGGCAGAGGTATTTCCGAGCTCTGTAAGATATCTGGTCTATTGAATATTGTTGAATGGATATTACGAATATGAGGGACTTAAAAACTAAATCGGACGAAACATACATATATGGGAGCTATAGCTGCACCGATTTACACCAAACATGGTGTACATGCTTTCTATATGGGGGCTATTATTACCAATTTCAATGGGGTTCGTCCTTGGACCTAACAAATATTGTTTGCAAAATTTCATCTCAATCGGATAATAAATGCGACCTGCATTCTGTTCACAAGAATACATGGACGGACGGACTGACATGCTTAAATCGACTCAGAAAGTGATTCTATGAATATCCTCAGAAGTAACTATAGGTCTCCCTGTTACAAACAAATGTACAAAGACGTAATACCTTTACCACTATGTGGGTAGGGTATAAAAATTGGTTATTTTTGACTCTCACTATTTTGCACGGTGCTCATATAACGATATCTTCGGATCAGCAGCAGTTGAAGATTCCAGATTCCTTGAGCCCATTTGTTTGGCATAGCACTCTCTTGATATAAGGAATTTTGAAGTTTACTGGACCAAGTATTCAGCAAAATTGGTTAAAATTTAAGCTTTTTGGAATCGGATCTAGGAAAAAATTCAAAATCTGTTTACGAGCAGCCTACCGATTTTATGTGTTTTGAAGATCCTGGTTTTGAAACATTTTTAATAGAACATATTTTCGCTAGAATTGGTCAATATAGATCAAGATTTTGGAGTGGCTCCAATTTATTGGTGTTTTAAATGTCTTGGTCAAATTTTCTTCGCCTAATGTGCTTCAATATTATATTTTTGGTTCGCAACCGGAAGAAAACTATTAGGCAGAAAATAATTACAATTTACGCGCATTAGCTTCTCGAATATAAAACACAATCCCTACATTTAAGGTATTTCTAGGGATTTTTTCATAATTTAAGCATTCACTTTGTGTAGCACGGTTGAAAGTGATGCCGTTTCACTAAAACCATGTCTACAAGCTGGATGACAGTGAAGTCAAATCATGTTTTAACATATTTTAATTGGGCTTTCAAACATGGCTCTCAGAAGAAGTGTTTTCAGATGTTTGTAATCCAGAATAATTAGTAGCAATTTTTTATTTAAGCACCGAAAAAATATTATTATTATATAGCCTGTCATCCAAAACTATGTCTGTGGTTGAAAACCAGTTTCGTGTAGATATTTTTTCATAACTTATGAATTTAATAAGGCTTCGATCAAGGGCTAAAGGCAAGAGTCAAATATCCTTTACGCCATTGAAAAAATATTAAAAATTCAAACAGGAAATTAAAGACCAGAGTTCATGTCATGTTAAAGGTTACGAGCCTATATACCGAATACATGAAGAAATATTGGCTAGAGCAGCAGCAGCAACAGTCATCAATTCCATACTTCATTGGTTTTTTATTGCCATTTTGAGGAGACACAATCTCGTACAATTCACAGACAACAGCCATAAATTGAGTTAGGCAAAGCACACAACCAACAAGAAAGGCATACAAGCCGACAAACAAATGTCTCAAGGGGAAAAAAGTCATAAGCCAAAGTAAATGTGTGGCCAAAAACCGGTAACTGAATTTGCCACTATTTCAACTTCTTTCAGTTATTTTTTTTTTTTTGTCTTTTACGTCTTCTACTTCTCTTTGGCATTATTGAAATACTGTTTATTTCTTTTTCTGCTTTGCAACATCTTGTTATGGTGGTCCTTTGCCATAAAAGTAGCAGCAGCAACAACTTCAACAAACATAAGCCTCAATGGAGAGATATTGGCGGCGATATCGTAGAACGTCGGTATGGTTTGGCTTATGTGTAACATACACAAAGGTTCACAAGGGTTGTGTGTGTGTGTGTGTTGGCTGGGAGAATACGCGTTCGAGTTGTTTAACCACTTCATTGCTCTTTCTTACCACCGCCACCACCACAACCACCATCATCATCATCATTGCCAACAGCAGACATTACTACTTCTTTGAACACTTCAGCTGGAACCAGCAACCACCAAACACTCACTTTTCCGTCATTCCCTCTTGCTTCTTTATTTTTGTTTTCCTCTTTTCTTTTTGTTTTGTTTATATTTTGTTGACTTCTTTTTTGTTTTGTTTTTAACTTTATTTTCCTTTTACCACAAGCATGCACATGTGAATTTGTATCACATTTACACACACCCATACACACTCACACAGCAATTGACACTTAAAAGGCCAAACAAATCCAATCTTCACACAAAGGCCAAAACTAATATCATCCAGCTTGCCAAACACTCCAAAGAACTCCAATTAGACAAAAATACTGGTTTATTTTCATTCACATTTGCTTGGTTATCTTCGCATTTTTTGGCATAATGCCAACAACAAATATTAAACACAAAAATCGTACAGTACCCCCCGGCAGCATATGCTTTTATCTGTAGGAGATAAACTTTGTTTAATCCACAGCTTCCCGAACGACTCAGTGCGTCAGTGGTAGTAGTACCAATAGGCTTTGCGTATTACCGGCCTCACGTTGTGCCGTCGACGTCTCAATACCAAAGTACCGCTTTAAACGTCTGAACCGCACGAAGAGCATAAACAAACTGAATTTTTGCAATTGTCCAACGTTGAAGCCAACATCATAGAAAACCAGTATTTTTCAACTCGCACACGGCCTTACACACACTTGCAATAATTATGTACCTGGTTCGAGTGGTGGCTTAGCACAGACACAACTCCCAAAATAAAGAAAAAATCATGTTGCCGGTGATATGTTCTCTCTTTTCCAATGGGTCGGGAATTTTCCAATTGCCTTCATGGAATAGGGTTTGCTCTCTCAACATATTTTGTGGATTGTAATTAAGAAGTCAGATGCACCAAACCTGTATTTTATTGGATTCCATTGTTTGCGAATGGTGGTAGGTTTGGCACGTGCTATGCCGGCATATCAACACGTTGTAGGTTGTGTTTTGTTTGATGTAAAGAGTTCGACTACCGACAAAATGAAAATTGTTACAAATGGGGTGTGAAGTAAATGTTGTCTTTGTTAACGTACATACACAATTGCAATAATTTTAAAACGCATTACAAAATAATATATATTATTAAGTTCGCTCGGAACGATATTTTCATTAATATCTTTCATCGTATGTAAACCATTGAACATTATAGGTATTCATCAAATATATGTAAGAAATAGTGCATATTCAAAATATTCCTAAATTTAGATCGAAAAGGGAAAATTTGGATAGTTTCCAGAAAAAGTGGATCGATATATTGGCCCGATTCATCACATCTTCGAAATGGAAAATGTTTTGATGTTTTCTTGTGTGGAGCTGTGGTGCAGATCCAACTAACTTAGAACACAATAAGAAAACAGCAAAACCAACACTACACAAACAGGTGAAAAGGGTCTTTGGTGGAAGTCACACCCACACTTAACCTGCGCAAACCTTGACCCAATAAACAAAATTGCTTCTTTGAGACAATCAAACATAAAATATATTTATTATTCTTATAGATATATTTAAACTTAAGACTATTAAACAAGGGAATTTTAATTATCCGCCTCCATTTGGAAAGAATTTGGAAATCTTAAAAAAATAATAATAACAAGTAAAAAAGCTTTCTATACGAAGACGTCGACCTGCACAGACAATTTTCTGTCTCAGCTTAATTTGAAACAATTCCGTTGAATATAGTGGCTAAAATGATCAAAATACCGAATATCGGTATGTACCGTTATATGGGGGCTATACCAAAACGTAGACCTACATAACCCATTTTCAATACAAAAAACCCTGCAGACATAATATACATTTGAGAAACATTTTATCAACCTACTACATTTTGTTCGGAAGTTAGAGTGATTTCCACAGACGGATAGACCAACGGACCATATAATGGTACCTCCCTATTATCGGTATTTTAATGATTTTAGCGACATTATTACCGGAATTGCTTCAAAATTGGTATATGACAGAAAACTTTCATGGCAGGTCCGCGTCATCATATAGCCCCCATATAACTGTACCTCCCAATATTTGGTATTTTGATGATTCAAGCGACATTATTCACTGGAATTGCTTCAAATTTTAATATTTAATGGATACTACAACCTATGACAAAAACATGGTGCACGTTTTGGTATAGCCCCCATATAATAGTACGTCCCTATATTCTCTATTTTGATGATTTTGTTGATGCAGGTCCACGTCATCGTATAGACCCTAATAAAACCGCTACATTCTCTATTTTTACAATTTTAACAGAATTTTTAACGGATTTTATTTTTTTGTAAATTGCCAATTTCATTCCAACTTACAGTTTTTTATTATTTTTTTTTAAATTTGCTGGTTGCTTCCCTCAATATTCATTCCGGCCGAAATGACTGCTTTTTTACTTGTTTTATATGTAGATGACATCCAAATTTTAACAATAATTTTTATTTTATTTACTATTTAAATTGAAGATAACATAAAAATACTTTTAGATTCTAAAAGAAACTAAATTTTGGCGCTGCAACTTAAATTTAATTTTTTTGTAGTTCGGATGAACATAAATAACCAACTCAACATAAATTCCCAATTAATCGTTTATTTGTTATGGGTAACTATACTAAATATACGTAGCGGTGTCGTGTACAATATAGTCGGCCCGCCCGATTCTTTTGCCCTCTTCTGGTTTATTTGCTATTATATGTTTCATACAAAATTGTAATAAGAAAGAAATGAAAAGACGATGTGCGCAATTTTTCTTTGGCTAATAAAGATATCTATTAAAATTGCGCCTAAAAGTATGCCAACTTCGACTACAAAGAGACTGCATTATCAATGCACAGCCAACGGTCAGACAAACTAAAGGGAACATCCACTAACAATCTGTTGGCACATAAGTATATTACCAAATTGTCATTCGATTTTCCGAGTAATTTTAAAAATAAATAGCTTAAATCCATTTACTGTGATCGATTTTTGGTCTGACATTTCTTTTCGACAAATTCTATCTACTGAATATAAAAAAAAAACTTTCGGATGTATATTTTTTTTACAGGGACAATTGCATTGAATCGATTTTTTTGAACAAAATCACGATTTATTGTGATCGGGGGATCCAAAATACTAGACAATATTTTAATGCAGGTTGAACAAAGGTAGTAATCACCTTTACTTCAATTATATGAGAGTTATAATTATTTGGGCCGAATGAGCATTTTACAAATTAAAACACCAAAATTCAGCCACCACTGTATTAACATTGCCCTGGTTGCTTCCAATCATATTGTTCTATTCTGTAATATCTCTGATGTTGCGGGTATTAATGTTTTAACATTTTAAGGAATGCCACATTCATTATCAATATCATCACTTTAATGTTGAGAAGAGAAAGATTGAATCATTAAAAATTTTAAAAAGTTTATGTATAATGTGCAATCATATTTGACATTGCATTTTCGCTTGTATTTCCCTCGATGTGTTATGTTAATTAATGTTAAAAGAGCAGCTTGCTTCTTGTTCCCCAAGGAATTGCGAATGAAAACTCAGAGCTTTAATTATTTTATATGAGATTTAATAATCATAATAAATATGTGCTTTATCTGAGACCATAATATGTTTTTGGAAAAGTCAGGCGGGCCTACTACATTATACCCTATGCCAATATGCATATTTAGTAAAGCAAATCAAATAACAAATAAAATCAAACTTTTCTAAATGCGAATTATGATTTTAAAGCAAATATAGTTTGGGGGGCAATTAATATGTGGTAGGTATATCCAACACCTAATTGATTTCCACCAAACTTTACAGAGGCATTTGTACCTCTCGTAATAACTACCATTGCTATAGAGTACATGATATGATTTTAAAAATGATTATATAAAAACAGTAGGGAACATTTGGCTTTGGAGCAGGTATAGTTTGCTATAGAGTGCATGATATCACTTCGAAAAGGATTGTATTAATATATATATATATATATATATATATATATATATATATATATATATATATATATATATATATATATATATATACCGGGTTGCACAAAATCGAAACGTACGTCCCGAAATTCACTCTATTTGAGCTGATATTAGTCATAACGTAAGGGACTTACGAATATTAAGTCCCCTACCAATGTGAGGGACCCAATTTTCAACAAATGTAAGGTACTTGTTTCTAGATTGAATTCAGATATGCCAAAATTTAAGTCATTTAGACTGATATTGGCCATTTGGTGCACAATCAACCCGAAACCGGTTGAAGATATATATGGGACATATATCCAAATCTGAACAGATCTTGATACAATTTGACAGAGGTATTTCTGGGCTTTATCTAATAACTGGTACCAAATATCATTGTTGTCGAATGCATATTACGAATGTGAGGGACTTAAACACCAAATCAGACGAAAAATGTATATGGGAGCTACAGCTAAATGTACCTCCTTCTACACTGAATTCGGTCAGATTTGCAAAATTCAGATTTTTGGACTGAATTTTTAACTGGTGGACAATTAACCCGAAATCGGTTGAGGATATATTTGGAAGCTATATCCAAATCTGAACTGATCTTGACAAAATTTGATACACTTATTTCAAAGCTGTATGTGATATCTGTTGTGAAATGCATATTACGCTTGTGAGAGACTTTAAACCCCAAATCGAATAAAACATATATTGGAGCAATAGTTATATCTGAACCGATTTACACTAAATTTGAAGTACTTGTTTATAAGATAAATTCAGTCGTAATTACCAAAGTTCAGTCCATTTGGGCTAATATATGACAAAGCTATTTTAGCGCAGTATCTGATGTATTACGCATGTGAGGGACCTCAAACCCCAAATCGGATGAAACATATATATGGGAGCCATAGCTATATATTAACCGATTTTCTCCAAATTTGATTTCCTTGATTCTATACTGAATGACATGCATAAATCAACTCAGAAAGTGATTCTATGGAGATCCTCAAAAGTAACTGTGGGTCTATCTCGCTTCCTTCTCCATGTTACAAACAAATGCACAAAGACATAATACCCTTACAACTATGTGGTGTAAGGTATAATAATATATATCGTGATGAGATTCAACTCACGAGTCCTGGCCAAGCCAACTTTTATACCATGTTTAACATGTTGGATATTAGTGAAAGTTACTTGACACGCGGCTCGAAGATTGATATCCATGTCTAAAGTTGTCGGCAGCACGGATTGAAGTGGTGGCCTGTAAAATATCAACGACTTATGAAGGCGCCCAATTAGTGTCGTTCACTAGTCATATCAGTCTCATATCGTAAGTGTTGCTAGGGGACAACCAAACTTCTCAAGGCGACATTACTTCAGTCACTAATCCAATCACTACTCTTCAGAATAAACAATGCAACTCCGTTTCACCTTTCCATCCACACTTATCGCAGCAATCCTCAACATACAACTGGATGCTCAAGTAAAATGCAATACTTCGGCTGGTCGATCGGTAGAGATTCCTTTGAACTGTCGCTTTCAAACACCGAATTTTACGGATTCCGTTTTAGGCACTTGCGAACTTGAAAAGTGAGAAGTATTGTTAAAAAAGTTTGTGCGCAGAT